CTTCAAAAAAAAAAAAAAAAAAAAAAAAATTTCAGGTTACATTACAAGGCTATCAGTTATATAAAGCATGGGTTATACAGAGGAAGAAATATCCTGTTACATTTTAAGTTATGTTGCAAGGCCATCAGTCATTCAAAGGCAGTAAAGATGGGTTCACACAAAGGAAGGAATGTTATATCCTTCTTGGCAGGCATCCTGGGCAGGCTTTATTTAAAATTTTTATTTCTCCCTTCAGGAGAGGTAGGTATAGTGCTTTTCCTGGAACAGTGTAGAAGTAGTTGGATGGGCAAGCTCACCATCATAAAAAAAAAAGATTTATCCTCACACCTGGGAACTAATTTTCCCATACTATCCTCAGCAGACTTCATCCTGCTCTGTGAGCATTACAGCCACATTGACTATCGAGATTTCAGTGGTAGCCAGGTGTGGTGGTGCACATCTGTAATCCCAGCACACGCAGGAGGCTGAGGCAAAAGGAGCATTGCAAGTGTGAGACCACCTTGGGCTACAAAGTGAGCTCAAGGCCAGCCTGAACTCCATAACAAGATCCTGTCTCAGAAAGACAAAAAAAGAAAGAAATTTTAAAAAATAGACTAGTCAAAATTTTTTGTAGTTCAATTAACAGATCTCTTGTAGTAAGAGTCATAACGAATAAAATATTTTACACCTGTGAAGGCAAAGACAGTTTATAAGATGGGCTCTCAGCTGACAGTTTATCTGATTAGAATGTCTTGCTGTACAGGCTACTCATTGTTGCTTGATAGCCATAGTAGTTATATGGTCACACTTGATGGCCAAAATTGCTGTTTCAATAGCCATGTGTAATCATTCCCTCTAATGGGACAGATATTTAAAGTAATTTTAACTATGGGGGAGGTTCACCATTCTGGAAGCATGGTCCTGAAATTTATTAGCCACAGAAGGAATAATTGTTTTGGACTAAACACTGTTAAACTTCTATATTCTCAAGGGTAGGGCAGTGGAGAAGGGATAGAAAAGTGACTCCCAGTAAGACCTAAATCTTAGCCACCTCAGACGCAGAAAGACAAGATGAGGAACTTACCCAAGGTGGATCTCTTAACCCTTAGCAAAACATCCCTTCATAGAAAAAGTTATGTTGCCTCCAACTGTGTTGCCGAACAGAAAATGAAACCAATAAAGGGCCTCAATGGCTGCTTTTTATTCTTTTGAAAAAGACTGTGAGAGAAAATGAAAGTGTTTATATTATTGTTTAGGTCTTACTTTCTAATGACTGAGTCAGAAGTTACAAAATCTCAGTGTGCAGAAGAGATCTCTTGCCTCTGGAGACAGACAAAGGAAGGTAATACCCAGAAATCTCAGTCCTAGGACAAAGAGATCTTCAAGACATTTTGAGTTCTATATCCAGTCAACTCTACAGCAGTGCTGGGTAGGCTCTGTTTAAACTCACTCTGAAAATATGTATCCCCGGATATCTATAATGTACTTAAGGAACTCACAGATTGTCTCATTAGAAGTCAGTGTTTGATTTAAGCATAACATTACATTTTGTAATCTACTTAATAGATCTGAGTAAGTCCTCTGGAGACTTCAATGAGCTTTTCAGGATCATCTGAAAATGTTCCTAGATTTTGGTTGATCTGTTCTAAGTCACAGAGAAAAAGACATGTAAAGATAGTTCTAAATATTGCACTGACTTCCTATAAGGGATGTTTTCCTTGAGGACCATGAACAGCATTAAGGATAGATACAACCTCACGAGGTTTTAATTATGGCTGACCTAGAAATTTCATCCTCAAGACCTGAAGGACAAGTAGGGGAGCCTCAGACTCAGTAATCGTGAGCAAGGCTTTGATTAAGGTTGTCTTGGAAACCTTGCCCTCAACCTCTAAAGGTAGAAGAAGGGCAGTGTAGGCTCAGCGATAGTAGATGCCTTAAGAGCCAGCAGTGTCTGGCTTTCCTGTGGCTCACATTGAAATTTCAATACAAGGATTCTTTTTTTAATGCAAAGAAAATCTGAACATAAGACTATTCTAACCATTTTCCCTCTTTCTTATACTACAATTATAGTTGTGAAATTGCATCATAATATTTCCCTTTGCATTAACAGTTATGTTTAAAGAAGGAGGCATTGCTTAGCACTAAATCATTGCTTTCTGGTTCTTAGAAAAAGAGCTCTAAATGTCCCTGTTGGAAGCCGCTTCTGTGTTACACAGCCCCTGTGCTGTCCCGCTGCAGCCACGTCATTCCTGCCAGCACAGCCTGTGTTACTGCCACCTCTGGAGACAGCCACATCACCATCTTGGGCTTGTTGTACCAGTCTAAAAAATCTGGAGGTGCAGGCCAATTTTGATTATTGGGGAAATAAAAATCTAAATCTTGTTAAGATCAGGAAACAACAAGGTCCAAAAGCATCTTGCTTATTTACCTTCTTAACAACTTGTTGGTATTTAGACATACAAGGTTCAGAATGTTTTATCTTTAGATAGTCTGGAGGTGCAGATTGAGGAGTTTCTCTAAAAGCCTAACCCAGCTCTGGGTCTCCCCTAGGAGCTGGTGGTACAGTGAAATGCTTTGTTTTTTTAATTTTTCATTTTTTTTCTCCCTTGACTTGTTCTAAAGCAAACTTTTGGGCTACTAGTACTTAACAAATATAACAGATTTTTACCAACCCTCAAGATGAGGAAGTCTCAGGAGAAAGTTTCTTCTCTGCTGTGAGCTCTCTTTAAATATTTCCCACCTTGTCCCACTTTTCATTATATAAAGTTCCTGCCTGTGGTAACTAAGGATTATATTTAATCATTTCTTGGATGTTTTGTTGATACTGTTACCTCACACTATGTATTATCTTCCTTAAAAGAGATTTTTAAAGAAAGAGATTTCCTAGAAAGATATTTTAAAGAATATTTTTTTAATTAAAAAAATTATTTATTGATACAGGGTCTTGCCACACAGCTCAGACTTACAGTGATCCTCCTGTCTTAGCTTCCCTAGCACTAGGATTATAGGCATGCACCACCATGCCTGGTTTCAGGGCTGGCACAGCATGTGGTACTAGGGATCAAACTCAGGTCTTTGCACTTGCCGGTTGCTTAGAATGCCAAGTTACCTCCTCAGCCCTGAAAATGCTTTTTAAAGAGTGAGATTACTGGGCCAGGTAGATGGCTCAGTAGAATAACCACTTTCCTGGCAAGCACAAGGGTCTGAGTTCAATCCCTGGTTCTGCCAAAAAAAAACAAAACAAACAAACAAACAAAAAAAACCGAGATCACTCTTGTTTCAATCCCATTGAGATTATAATTTGTGTGGAAAGCACTTATTGTAGCTTCATGCCAGATGTCTCCAGAATTATCATATGAGATCTGAATGCGTTGAAACATTCCTAGTAAATCCACCAAGCAGGCAGGAATGCTGTGGTTTCAGGCCATGTTGGGCACCAGTTATGGTAGACATTTTTCCATTGTGGAAGTTATTAGGAACCCCTGCAGTGAGTCCTCAATCTTCTGCCCAGAGTTATGGCACACGGTGAGAAAGAAAAAGAGCAAGAGATAAAAATTGTACATATACAGGGCTCTGGACTATCAGTGTTCTCTGTGGACCAAGACCAAGAATTCCCAGCTAGCCACTATTTTATTAGCCAGAGCAGTGGGAGGGGTACAGTGCTTTTCCTGGAACAGTGTAGAAGTGGTTGAATGGGCAAGTTTAATATAAAAGAAACAAGATTCATTCCCACACTGGGAACTAGTTTTGGTCAGCAGATTTCATCCTACTCTGGGAGTATTACAGCCTCATTGACCATCAAGATGTCAGCGATGCCCAAGAAAAAGTAGGAT